AAGAAATATTTATACTATAAATTAATTTTTTATATCTACCTGTATATTTTTATTTCATTTTTATTTTTGAGTCTGCATCTTCTTGCTATCTTGGACTTTTAGCAAGCGTGAGATGCAACTCTGATGTCGTCAGTTAGCCAGTTTCCCCCGAACTAAAGTCTGGACCATGTCAATCTGAACATCTTGGCAATGTTAAACGACTACGGAGGAACGGGACGCAGTCGTCGTCTTCTGACGAGGTCGATCTAGAGATTTCATCATAATATACTCTCATACGAAATAAAAGTCCCAACAGAATAAACTACTTTTTTTACCTACTTTCAACTACTCAATCCGATTCTAGTCGGTCGTTTCCGTTCTTCATTATCGTGTTTGCCAGTTTTTCCTATTTCGCTTCACTGGCATCCCTCGTCATCTGGTACATTGCTTTTAGTTTAAACGGTCACATGTTTTGCATCACCTCAAGTATAAATTTAATTCTCTTTTATCCGTCTCCTTGAATGTATTACGTCACCAGTCTACTTATCTTACCCAGTTGTCCCTCCTTTGCACAATCAATCAGGGCTACTCCGAAGGCCGGTTGTCCACAGTTGCCGGCTCCCGGGGCCCCGCCAGCCCCACTCCCTCCACCGTTGACTCTTCCTCCCGAACCACCTACCACTCCATTGGCCGGAGATCCGGCCGAATCGAGTCTGTCCAGTCTCCACTCCCAGTAGTGCACACCTCGGGACAGGCCTGTGGCGCCCAGCACCACTTGGTCCTCTGAACTGGTAGTCGTGACAGTGAGTCCCCCGTTTGAGACCACAATGTCAGGCCCAGAGAGCCTCTGGTCGAGGCAGAATCTTGCGCCTGGATAGGTAAAAGTGAGACAAAAGTTAGTTGAGAGATAATGATTCACACAAGAGTTATCTTAGCACATATTGAGTGATTAGGTTTGGGAGCTCGACCAGTAGAGCTTGAATAAAAACTCGAGTCATCCTGGATCACTTGAATTGAGAGTAAAGTGAAAAGATGGACTATTGATGCCATTTATTTACCATAGAAACCCCTCGATATTGGTTTTCACTTATTGGACAGACTGTGGTTTTGGGCTAGCCAGGTACTTATTTGTGGCCAAACGAAAGTCTAGACAGAGTCGTGTGTATCAATTTTTCGCACACGCCCGGCAACCAGTTGGTCCAAAGGCAGATGCCACCTTCAATTCA